CACATCCACTCTCAATTCATCTGATAATTACCAAATTTGTTCAATTCAGAATGAGGCTACTATAATTGAAACTTGGAATCACCTTGAGAACTTTAAATGTCCCCCCCCAATTAAAAAAATCAAGATCTTTCAGAAGATGCCACCTCAAAAATTTATTCCTCCTGTTGCAGCAATGGCACTTGCCATCTAAGCACTTATGGAAGTTGATGATATTGGTAGTCCAATAAACCAATTACCCATCATTCACATCTTTGTGGGGTTTCTTCCCCCTTGAATCTAGGCTGCACATGTATCTTGCTTTAACCAATAAAGTATGAAGAAAGTAACTCTATGACAGTTCTGAGCCTTAAGAAGCCTTAAGAAGACCTGAAAGCCCCCACTTTTGCATCTTAGGGAGCCCTGAGCTGCCATGGAAGAAGTCAGACTCTGCTGGAGAGACCTCATGGAGAGACCATGTGCAGAGGGAAAGGCCCTAAAACTACATGAAAAGAAAGAAAGACCCGGCTGTCCCATCATTCCAGCTAAGCCTAACCTTCCAGTCAACCCATCAAGGCATCAACCATATGAATGAAGCCATCGTGAATGTCCGAGCACCAGCCATCATCTTACTGCAGCCATATGAAAGACCCTAAGAACAAGACTGAAGAGCACCCATGCGGATGAAACCCAGTCAAGTCACAGGGTCTAAGAAATAACAAATTGGCTGTTGTTTTAAACCATTATGTTTTAGAATGATTTGTTACTTAGCAATAGATAACCGAAAAAGCAAGAAGAGAATTAAAAGGATTCCGATTGTGTAAGGTAGTTTACTTTTTTCATTCCCTGCACAACTAATAATACTTTTTCATCAGTCCTATTCCCTAATTCAGAGCCACCACTATAGAATATGACATTGCTAACCAAGTTTTCACCTTCTTGTAAAAATTCTTTAAATAGAGCTGCAGTTGGAATCACGTGTATAAACGGAACAAAGGATCCTAATAGAAACTGATGTTTGAAAGAGTTAGGTATCCGAATGCATTACTGTTGTTGCTGCTGCTACACTCACTTTTCCGGCTGGTGAACATACGGCAGTTATTCTTCAGAGCTAACTTGCCAACAGAAGGTCAAAACACCCTGTCTAAACACAAGACTTACAAATTTCGGATCTTAAGTATGATGTCATGTCTTAAAATGATAAGCTGGCAAAGAAAATAAATGGCATTTTGTAAAAGATGTGCACAGTTTTCATGTTTACGCTACTTAAGATGAAGGTTCTAATAAGTCATCGGCTATGTTCCTTTAAAGGGAAGTTTTATAACTGAGATGAATCACAACTGCAAAAGATCAAAGTTAAAAAACATCAATGATGCCATGGGGTACTTTTTAATCTTGTAATGAGTGATGATCATGTGCTCTTATGAAGTTAGTCCAACTGCCAACGCCAGATGTGTATATTAAGAAAAGAAGTTGTTTGTGATGTGACAGCACCGGTTCAGCTGCCAGAGACAGAAAACATAGAAGGATAAAACCTTTCAGATTTTTGAGTGAAAAGCAAGTTTTGGCAGATGTGTTAAACATGGCCTCAGAGGGGGACACTGGTGTCATAGCATCCTTTCTTGGATTTTTATTTGCTGTAAACAAATTGTATTTTCATCAATTCTGCACAGCTGTCCCCAGGCAGCATGAATACCTGCTCAAAACACAATTTATAACACTTATTAGTGTCATTTACTAATGAACAGAAATTAGTAAAGCCATCTGCAAGGGAAAAAAATAATACACTAGAGAACAGAATCTAGATTGTATCTATTTCCTGGAAGCATACTATAAGCAAAATTCTACAGCAAACTTCTGACACTGAAGGAAACTACTGTAATAACAGCTGACACTTAATGAGCACCTACTACATGACCATTTTACATACATCATTTAACATCTTTGTAGCAACTGACGAGAAAGATACCACTAATGTTATTCTCATTTTAAAAGATGAGAAAACTAAGGCAAAGAGAAGTTAGGTTACTTGCCTACCACCATACAACTGGTTAATGGTGCAGCTAGGATTTCAATCCAGACAGTCTGACACCAAAGCCCACATCCTTAATCACTACGCTATACTAAATAAAGAACCAACCAGTTAATCCAGAACTTGTCCTTGGTCAAATAGCTGATCTACCAGAAATAGTCTTTTTAACATATACTCTGATTTTTAGACAAAGGAGTGAAATTCCCTTAACAGGAATCAATAGTACAAAATCATCAACTCCTTCAAACCACTACAGAAATAAACAGATGTATATTATTTCTACAACAATCATAACTTAAAGAATTAAAGTTTTGTAGAAGAGGAGGATAAAACAATTGCATTAGTTGTCGTTTTTTTCTCTCCTCAGGATAACCTTTTTCTAAAGCCCTTCTCTATTAATGGTCAATAAAATAAGACTTTGAAATTGAGAGCAAGAGTTGGCAAACTACAGGTGTGCTAAATCTGACCTATCACCTAGTTTTGTAAATAAAGTTTTATTGAAACACAGCCACAACTACTTGTTTATGTATTAGCTAAGGCTGCTTTTGAGCTACAATGGCAGAGGTGAGTACTTGTGACAAAGATCATATGGCCCACAGAGCTGAAATCATTTACTATCTAGCGCTTCACAGAAAAAGGTTGCTATCCCATGTTCTAGGGGATTTATCATTTAACATTATATATATGCACCAATCAATCAAAATCCTACTATACTCAAAGATGAAGAAAATTGAAAGTCCTGGGCATTTGCTACAACTGGAAGTCTCAAAATTAAAGAACAATATTGAAAAGGGTTCTATATACAAACATTTAGTGCCTAATATAACCAAGAGCAGGGCAGAAGGAAATAATTCAGCACAGAGAGTCCAGGTCGTAGGATTAAGATATTACTGATACCAGATCCAACCTTATATCCAGACAGTTGGCTTGACAAGTCACGTCATGATGTCATAGAATCCACATGACATTTTCACATATATTTTTGATTCATGAGAAATGTTACTCAGGCTGATGATCTACAGCAGTAGTCTGCCAGTTGAGATCTGTATCTGCTTCCCCCCTCCTACCCACAGCACTCTCTGCAACACCTACAGCCTGAACTCATGTCACACATATACCAACTACCCCTGCTACCCTTAATCCTCACTGCTTTCAGAGCACTTCTCTGTCTTTACAGTGCAGTGAACCTATCAACAAATTAATTCTCCCAACATCCTTTTTAGAACAAGGTTATGTCAACCTCACTTAAAAGAGAAGTGACTTTCCCAAAGCTACCCTGCCTCCTCACCTTCTGCCACATCTTTCATAATAGGGCAGCACCACCTTTCCCCGTTTCCTCTCCCAAACATCAGCTTTTGAACATCAACTCTTGATTGTATGAACACATACACATGCACAGACACACAGACATACACACACAATAATGGTTTTTCCAAGAACTGAGAAAAGCAGCTGAGATCGGCAGGAAACATCTTTAAAAGATAAGTATAAGCTAAATGTTTAAAGGGCTAAATGTTTAAAGACTACTATTCTGCTTTATGCACTATTAAAATGGATGACCCTGCCTTTTCAGGAACTCAAGTGTTAATTAGATAAAATGTCAGAAGATGTCTTCCATCATAAGGCATCATCCAGATTTATGTCCAGAAGTCAGGCAAAGCCCCAAACCAGGCAAGACAGACCTGCTCTCTTCTATTCACCTGCACTGCATAACCACGGGCCCTTATGATCAGAGACTTGGTATAACCAGAGATGTGTATGGCCACTGCCTAATAAGACTTTCTTAAACTGAACAGACACAGGACCAGCACTGACCCAACATTGTGAACCTGGAAGAACGCCATACACATGAAAGGAAGGGAAAAGAAAAAACTCGAAGACTGGCTTTTGAGGCGGGAAACCTCCCTAGTTCAGGCAAGCAGTCAGCCTTTATGAAAAGAGACAGCCGCAAGAGTAACGAAAGGCACCGTGTGTTCTCACTACTAAAAGACCCGCCACTGGGTAGGGGCAACTTCACCAGCCCTTTTCTCTCAGTTTTAGAGGAAGAAAAGATATGGCACTCTCACTGTCTAGGCAAGTGTATCGTTATACAATAAATATTTCTGCCAGCTGTACCCCCACCACAAAACAAATTAAACTCTCTAAACATAATAGCTAGGTCTCCGGTGTATTCACTCATCAAAGTCAAAGTTCATAGAATTTTTAATGTTGTATATATCAAATAATCTTTAATTTCTAAACGCATCTAAATGCATTTAAATATTGTTAAGTCGAGTTTATTTAAATCAGTTTTGGGGAATGAGGGGAGGAAAATCAAACCCGTTTCAATTTAGATTGAGGAAGAAATGTACATTAGCCCAAATGGATTATGTGCACTGCCTGAAACTGATGCTGGTTAAACACTCTGGATGTCCAGACAGATAAACCAAGGTGGATTTAAACCTGGTTCGACTCTATCTGTTAAGAAAACTATCTATAACAATTACTAGAACATGACCAAACAACAGTGTCGTAACAAGCAAGTTATCGTTTGCAAATAAATTCTTTGTTATTAAGCAGTGTGCTCTTTATAAAGGGAATTGAGTGGGCGAAGTAAAAAGTTAAAACACATTCTTAGACCATGGGAAACATACACAAATGCTCTTTGACTAAGCTCAAGATTTTTCAGTTTATTGTTTTCTTCCTCAGCTCTCATAGGTCTATTCTGCCCTGTCTTTTGTGTACAGCAGATGAGCAGAATTTCTTAGAAAATAGTTATGGTGAAAATAATTATTCACTCACTTCCCAAAGTTATGTAGGCCTTAACAATTTCGTGGCAAAAGTTAAAAGTGTAATTTTATTTTCTACTAACCATGAAGTTCTACTAATTGCAGCTTGCAAACTTTGCGAAGAAACTATTTACATGAAAGTAACACTAACTTATTTGGAATAAATTCCTCACAGGATCCCTGCGAACTCTACTACCATTTCCAACAGAAAGGCAAGTACTTACTTCTGGGTTCCCGGGGTCCATCCACTGTAACTTTAATAGCTCTGTGATAGGTGGCTACTTGGGGAGGATTTGTGAAGACAGTTATGGTCAAGGTGAAACTCTTTCCTGCAGATGTAAAAGGGGGAAATCCATAGTGAATATAAAAAGATAATAATGATGATAATATAGCAGCATGGATGTCCAAATTGCATTTAAGCATCTCTGAGGAGGTAATGAAACAAAGAAGAGAGTCAGGACTCCTTTTTCTAAATTAGAAACCCTCTGATGGCCACTTTAAAAAGTTACTAAACTCACTGAGTGTTAAGATTATCCTCTTGCAGTACTATAAAAGAAGGCTACAATTCCAAAAAAGAAAAAAGAAAAAGAAAAAAAGCCTGCTCAGTAGCAACATTTGTAATGAAAACAAAAACCCTGGTGCAGTTAAGGAGGGTTCTCTTTCTTTCAGTTTTCTCCAACATCAGAAACACATCCAAGCATAGAGAATTTTAGAAGACTATATTTAGGATTAGGTCATGACCCCCTGAGAGAACAATAGTAAATCACTGTTGATTATGTTATTTACTTCACATGGCTTTAGCATTTCATTTGCTTAACTGCACTACAATAAGAAGATGAAAGAGGAGGGTTCTTATGGGAATCATTTTAACAGGAGCCAGTGTCTCCTGTCCTGGCCTTAATGTGCCTGTGGTATGATGATTTCATCATTACTGGAACAAAGTTTTTCTCCTCCCTGCCCACCCCTTCCCTAACATACATCCTTGTTGTTAAATCTTAAAATAACTCCCTGACATCGACTTATTTTTTTTTTTTGCTAAATGTACAGGACATCTCCCAATATAACTATGAATTTTTTGCTTTTAGCAGAAGATGTGCTTCATTGAAATATTACATCTGATGTTTCAAATTAATGAGCTAAAGGTGATGAACGGGGTGAGCGAGGGGTGGTTGGGAAGGAAGACATGGAAAAGTTTGCAGATTAGGATGTTTGCTTTCTCCAGAGGAAGATACCAGACTGTTAGACAGGCTCACTGACAGTTGTAATCAGTTAGATTTGCAACGGTTAGTCATGTCAGATAGTCAAAACTGCAAACTGTTACAAGACAGGAAAAGGTGGGCGTGAAACAGTGACTCAATAAAACATTCAGCAATCTCAGGCCAGTGTATTCGTTTAGTCTGCTCCTGTAACAGACCTTTAAAAAGTTCATTCTGTTTTGCTTTGTGTTTTGGTCAGAGACTGCTTTTCCCTTTACTGAAAGCTGAGGGTACTAAATCAAAACACAAATCTTAAACAATATGTATCAATGCAAAGTTTAATGCAATCTTTTCAAAGCTTAATATGGAACAGGTTATATACAAGGCTTAATGTAGAACAGGTCTTTGACTGTCAAGTCTAGTGAATGGGTTTTCTTTTCAACCCAGACCATGCAAGTTCCTAAAATAAGTTTAAGACACACATCATTTGTTACTCAGTATACATAGTTTTAAGTCTCTTTGGCTATACTTTTTCATGGCCAAGACAAAAAAAAAAGGAAAGGAAAGAAAACACAGGAATGTGGGGCGAGGGGATGAATATTGATTAGAAACCTAGTAAGTGACACATTATCTCATTTGAAGCTATCCAATTGGATTTATCACTCCAATTTCACAAATGAAGAAAGTAAAGCCCAGAGAGGCTTAAAAATTTACCTAAACAGCTAATAAGTAGAAAAAAAATCAGGATCTGAACCCAGTTCTTCTACCCTAAAATGAATGCTCTTCTTTTTAACATCGATAGAGAACATGAAAAAAATTAATAGGTAATTTATTTCTACATGTATTGCAATAAGCTCTATAAGATCAAGAGACAGTAAATATAAATTTACTAATATAGTATATCGGCCAGAAGGATGAAAGTATCTATTCTTAAAGTGTTATTAATATATTATAGTTCATCCATTATATATTGGATGTTACTTGATTTAAGTAATTTAACTACCTCATTAGGGAACAGGATTTATTATAAACATTAAGACTAACCAGAAGAATAAGGCAGCCAAGAGTCTAAACTAGTTATAGAAAATTTAAAGTCCACAGAAATGAAGATTAGAATGTTGAATAGGAAACCACTGTATCCAGGTCAGGACCTCAAAACAGTAGAAAGGTCTGGATGTGTGCATGGGCTGAATCTTTAGGTTGAAAGTTAATTTACATTAAACCATAAAAAGATGCTATTCTAGGTTAGATCAATGATTGTGAGCCAGGACTGAATTTCTAACAGTGGCTGGGAGGGCAGCACTTGGAAGGCAGTTGTCATCCATAGCACTAATCTTAATAAATCAAAGATAGAAATATGTATACATGTACATATACACATATATACATATAAATTATCTTTAATATCTGTAAATAACCTGCTAGAGCTACTGTCCATTAAATTATCTCAACTAGTTCTAAGAATATTTCTATTTGAGACTTTTATAACTTACTTAGGCTATTAAAAGTCACTGATGCTTCTCCCAAATTCAGAGAAACACCTCATGTAGGAACAAAAGCCAAATAGAAAATTCACCTTGTTAAGTATAAAGCATCTAAGTGTTCAAAGCAGAACCAATTTTCTATAAAGACTTCTTTTAAAAAGAAGTGGATTTTTGAGAGGAAACAGGTATTTAAGTATAAATATGGTCTTCTAAAATCCAATCCTAAGGATCAAAATGTACTTTAACAACTAAAACAAAAATCAAGGAGGTTCCTTCCACTTCTTATTGCTACTTCAGAAGGAACACGAATGAGATGTTTGAGAAACTTCCAGAAACTACCACCTAGCTAGGTAATTGGTTCTTCACCTTATAAAATAATGATACATTTCCTAAGTCAAATGTTTCTGTATTTATGATTTCCTTAATTTAAAAAAAACTTTTTCCAAATCCCATTTTTTTATCACTTTCCATAAATGATAAAAATTCAGGCACCTACTTAAAAATGCAGGCTCTTACAGGGAGCTAGCTAGATAACCAACTGTGTTATCCATAGCTTCACCTAGGAACTCATTCTGCATATGTCCTCAAGACATATATTTTCTAAGATAAACACAGGAACTGTCATTAAAAGACAATTCCAACCTAATCTGAGAGGCTGTCAGGAATAGCCAGGAGGGGTAAGACTGTAAACGGGGATTGTACCATAAATTGAAAAAGTCCCATGCCCTGTGTACTGAAGGGGTTTAAAAATACTTATAAATTAAAAGCAGCATGCTTGACGGCAAAAGTGAGGAAGTACACCAAGAGAACTTAAGGACCAAAGTCATTATAAATATTTGTTTAAAATATAAAGGCAAAAAAAGGAAAAGTATTAAAAAACATAAGCCACTCCTAACTTTATGGACGTTTCGCTGATGCTTTACTTTTATTCAAAGCACTTCCAAAAGTTGTGGTCATCAGATAACCTATAAAGCCAAAGTAAGTAGTGATGTGACTCCTCGATAAATTTAAAACTGTTTTTCAATTTCTGAGAGTTTATATTTCTACTAGTGAAAAGAAAAACTGTAATAATTTGAGGAACATGGTACTATTTTTTTAAATGCTACTGAAAATAGAAAATTTAAATAGCTGGGAAAAAAATACAGTGGTAGCAGCATGTTGATCCAGACTTAATAATTTATTAAGTAATATAGAAGTGCGAAAATCAAAGAGGAAGCTGGAAAGAGTCTGTTAGAAAGCAGGTCAGGTACACAGGCAGGTTAAGTGGTTTCCTGCCACTAAAAACTGAGCCATTTTTTTTCAAAGTGATATCTCTTATCACTATTCTCTGTCCTTTTTTACTCCTTTCAATTTGATATTACTGTTTCCTTTCATATAATATTAATGTAGTGATATAAAAATCTATTATTAGTGATAAATCAATTTTTCTTTTTTTCTCCACCCGCTCCCCCTACCCTCGATCTAAGTCTCAAAGACAAGTCTGGACCAATTTCTCCATCCTGCCTCTGGCAGCAGACTGTAGCATTTCAGATCCTCCACCAAGTCCCGGCTGCTTCAAAGGAAAAATCCTACTTTCTTCAGTTAAGATCATAAGAAATATAGGGGGAGGGGGTCAACTCTGTTTGGACATAATTACACTTCATCAAAAGAAGCTTTCTTCATCTTCCATGCGTGAAAAGTCTGCAAGCAGTTAAGTCTGTCTTTTTTTTTTTTTTTTTTAAATATAAAAATTGCTATTTGGGAAACCAGCCAAAACTCAGAAAGCCAATATAGTAAAACAGTGCACACCCTTTGTTTCTCTTTGAAGTTTCTTAAATAAATATGTTGAGGGTTTACAAAGTACACTATCACTTTGCCATAGTTTCTACTCAAATTGATCAGAGAAAAGTTATGCAGCATCTATATAATACAAAAGCAAGATAAATGAAAACACTAGTGTGAATCTGTAAAGTAAAATATAGTGCCGAATCTTATATATACTAAAATTCATTACTCCAATTAAAAACAAAATAATATTACAGAAAAATAATGATGTAGTTCAGAGCATACAGGTAAATCATCATGCTCAAATTTTTCTTGATTCTTACTAGAAAAAAAGAGAAACTTTAATTGTACTGTGGACCTGCACCAATAACTGAGAAAAAAAAAAGAATGCAGACACACACATATACACTTCACACCTAATCAGTCAACAGTGAGATAGGATATGTCTTTTTTTCTTTTAATGAAAGTAAACTAAACCTGATACAGAGATAACCCCTTTAGTCTTGACTCTACCAGACTCTGAGCCTCATTTTATTTCAAACAACCACTCAGTGACAGTATCTCATTAGCATGCATCATTTTTTTAAGTTAAAAAGTACAACTTCTTGGCCCTGTTCCTAGAAAGTAAACTAAAACTACTCATCGGAAACAGCCTTGCTTGAATTTCCCTTATCAAGTTTTTACAATGGTAATAATTTGACATCTGATCCAAACTAAAGAGCAATTACTGAACATGGTTTAAAAATTGATGCTTCTCATTTCCTAATTCAAACCTGGGTTGAAATAACTCCATAGGTCTTTATAATTTATTTCACCTCAATTCTAAAGCAGTCTATTTTTTCTCTTATAATCGAAATACTTAAAATTGAAATATTAGATTCAATAAATAAATAAATGAACAGAATACTTCTAATGAATGGCTATTAAAAGTCTCTCTATAGAATAAGTAAATAAAGCCAAAAATTGGTTTCCTTAGAGACTTTTTTAAAAACATTAAGCCCGTTTATAAAATAGTAATGAAACACTAAAAGGGATTATTTTATATTTTATATTTTTAAGGACTGCTATAATTTGAATATGGATTCAGATGGCAGAAACCCTTAAATAATGTGGAAATATTTTGAGTCTGATCATTCATCTGTCTAGGGAACTCTATATAGCCATTGTAACATAAGTAACACATTATTCACTTATTCAAATAAAAAAGCCTTCTATAAAAATAAAACTGATTTTTAAATAGATTCTTATTATAAGAGTAAATTAAATCATATAGAGGTAACATATGTGATAAGTGAGCTGCATTATGTTAGTTGTCCTTGCTACCCCTTAGTACAAAACTGACATTGTCAGAAAATTGATCCAGTGCATTCCTTTTTCTTTTACCTTTGCCACTCAATTTATTCAGTTATTTGGCTCTTCATAATTCAGAACTTGAATCTCCAACTGGTCTTCTCTCTACCTCTTATGCTCACACCCAAAGAAATGAGGAACAAGTTTTTCTGAAAACACTGTTTGAATATTCAATATCATAAAACAAATTTAAAGGGCCTCAGTACTCAGAAAAACACTCAATTTCATCTGGACATATTTAAATAAAACCTTCAGTAATTCTATTCAGTAGAGGAGGGTGCTGATTTGTATACAGACTAGCCTTGATTTCATCAGAGGATCCTAATGTGTTTATCCCATTACCAATAATAAAAATCAGAGACCTACCTCGTCCACTCCGTCCCACAAATCTCAGATCGTTGAACCTTGCTACTTGGTTTTTCATAACAGCAGAGGCATTTCGGAGCTCGGCAGAATAATTTTCATCATTACCCGCCATGACAGTAACCACAGTTCCATCTGGTACCTCTCCAAGGGCTACTACCTACATAAAACAGGAAACACAGCAGCAATAATGGCACATCAGAAAGCTTAAAAACTGAGAATATATTCTCATTGTAAATGATGGCTCTTATCAGGACTTAGTGCTCTAGTCCAGTAATGGCAGATAGCAATGGATCATCTGCATATGGGTTAGAATGCCACTTCAAACAGACCAATGTTTCAGGGTCCACCCATTTCAAAGGCAGGCAAAAGCTTCCTTCATTTGTTGTTGGATTCTTCATAGAAGACATGCACATTTTTATTAAATCCCCATGTTAAGCTGTCCATAGGAATTACGCCACAGAAGGAAGGCTGATGCCCCATCTATAGATTGCCTTGTACATATTAAGGCACCACCTGTCCACAGCCTAGAGGTGTGGTCTCACCCGGATCACAGGCTGAAAAAGAAAGTCAAGTCAGCTCTACAGGAGAAAATATTTAGGTGACACCTTGGAGTTCCTCACTGTATGGAAGCATAAACATAATGTGGTATCCAGAACTGCATTTCATGTCCTTACTTTGGGCTAGATATTGTTTTTAATCATAAGGCAAATAATCACTAAATGCCCACTCTGGCATAAGATCCAGTGGGACATACACAGCCATTAATAAGCTTAAAGTCTAGGTAAAGAATAAAGATATTAAATAGGCTGATAATAATCACTGACAAATAAGTGATATACACAGAAAATATACCATTAGACAAACTTCTATTCTGTCTTGTCCCATCTGCCACCTTGGAATGACACATTTGCCTCCTTAATCTTCAACAGGTAACTTTCAGAAGATTAACTCAGTCAAGTTAGGACCCAGAATAATCAGTCTTTGAGGCTAATAAACATTTTCACTGCTCCAAGGCTAGGGATCACACTTTTAACCAGGGTCAGCTAACTCGAAAATGAGTCCCTCTGATTAACATGGAGGCTGGTAAGGGAATGTTGGTGCAGAGCCTTCATTGTCACATATAAAACACAATATTCTTACTCCATTACCAAGACTCTGCCCTTTGAAAATGTTCTTTCTTTCAACTAACTTCCAGGATCCTATACTCAGATTATTTCCATCTCTTCCTCATTCAGCTTCCAGACGCCCTCGTGGTGATTAAATAATTATTCCAGCTAAAGTATCCCTCTACTCTCTGACATAACACATATATGTGCTTGCCTATCTAGCAAATATACCACTCCCTCCTTCCTACTTCTAGTGCTACTCCCTCCTTTGTCAATATTTCTGTAAGGCAAACCCAAGCATTTAATTCCATGCTTCCAATACAATTTGTATATACTCTGATCTAAGTAGATTTCTCAGAGCGTGATAAAACAGACACTATAACTATACTTTAGGGCTGAATTTCCCCCACTCATGAACCCTAGCCCAACACTTTTCCGCTATACTCTCTGCTCCAGCCAGGAAAATAACCAAAGAAAAACTCGTCAATATTTTTTTCACCCTTACTTTTTCTCTTAGTCTGTTTTTCAAATCCACTCCTTCTTTAGCACTGTTATTCAGTTTAAAATCCTAAAGCTTTCCTTAAATTACAGTATACGCTTCCACAGCATCACACTGTACTAAATAATCCTCCTTTCAATGTGAATGTATTAATGATCTATTTACTCCTTTTGATACACTTGACCAAAGCTGTGAGTCTCACTCCTAAGGGTCCAGATCATAGCAGACTGGAAACTGTATGAGAGAAGGGACTTCATCTGTCTTGTTTGGCACTATATGCCCAATTCCCAAAATAATGCCTGGCACATAGTAAGTGTTTGATAAATATTTTTGAAATCAATAAATGAAAGAGCTCCAAAAAGAGCATCATTTGCCACAGATAACAGTCTGTGAGGCTACCAGATAAAACTCTAAGAGAGAGAACCAGTTAAAGGTTGAGTCAGCATCCCTCACTAATAGCAATATGCCTTTGCTCCAAACTAGTTTTCTAACAACTTTTTCCATCCCAGAGGAGAGGGAATCAATCCAACTATCCTTTACTCAGGGTATATGGTTATTCTATTCAATCTGAGAAGCCTCCTGGGTCACGGGTAAATCCCTTGAGAACATGACTTCCTCCCTGCATACTTGATTTAGTGCCTCAAGTGGCTACCGACTATAGGTAATGATGCACTCCTGATGGAGGCAATGTGTTTTTCAATTTTTCAAATTCACGATGCCAAAAATGTGAACATTTGAAAATACCGAAATAATTGATTATGCTTGCCAGTATTCATCTGAATGTTTGACATTTTTTACACTCAGCATACTGCATTTTAACACCTGCTGTGTGGCTTTCTATGTCAAAGTAAATATGGAACCAGTAAGCATATTACTAATGAAGGCAAAAAAGTTGTACTATTTAGAGGAGAATGAATGCACCAAAGATCAAAAGGCCCCACTTTTTTCCCACCTCTGCTACATATCTGCTATGATCTCATGCAAGTAACTGCATCTCCAGGAACCAGAGTTTTCTAATATAAACTAGAAAAAAATTTTAAGTCTCTAAAATGTGGAAGATACTATATAAGTATAGAGTATAATTATAATGATGTACTTTTTTGTAAGATGAGGAGGCTAACTTCTGTTCCAAGCCTGCTGTGTGGTAAACATTACTTATGAGCATCATTAATGGATTCAATTGAATATATAATTCTTCACTTCATGTCCTGAGATGTTTCCTGTTGCTATCAAAAGATAAAGGATGACTTCTGATGGGTTTCAATCCAGTCTGGCTAAATTTCAGGAAAAAAGTAAAGAAATCTGCCCCAATATAAAGAATTTCAAGAGCTCTGGGACACTATTATTTTACTGCATATTTTTAACATAATGGGGTTTTTTTAGTTAGAAGAAAAGGAAAATTGATTCAATATGGAAAAATATGAAAGAAAAGATCCCTAAGAGTGAAATACATAAGTCCATTTTACTTTGCTTAAGCATAATAATGACCATATTAAATACTGGTATGTCTTACATATGACATTCAATAACAAAACAAATAGGTAACCACAAATTGCGAGTCTTCTATGAGGCTTAGAACTTGGCCTTAAAAAAAATGCTAACGTGATATAGTGACAACTTTTCCTGTTATGGCTCAACTTTATTTTAATGGCTAAATATATTGTTTTTTTCCTGCTATTTACTCTACCAAATCAAACTGCCTAATGTTTTTCTGAGGAAAAAAAAGAAGGAGTACTGTATTTGACTTTATATCAATCAGAAACATAATTATATGTTTGAGAATTTTTTTAAAAAGTAGATCTCTGAAGCTGAAAAGTTTCCCTTAGAGATTCTCAACTGTGTTTAACTAAAAGAAAACCAAAAGAATCAAGAAATTTTCAAACCCAAGCAATGGAAAACATTTTAAGGGGTAGAGAAAGAGCTGTCAAAAATCACTCTTTAACTAGTTAGGAGTAAGCACACATTAAAATTTGTTTCCATACCACCCAATACAAAGTTCTGTTCTGCAAAGAATTTGTGCTGAAACTTTAACAACTACATTCCTTGGTGTTTTTAAAACATAAAATCTACAAATTCAAGAAACTTCATGAGAAACAGGGAAGTAATTTTATGTCCTGACATTTCAGAATTAAGAAAGAAGTTCCTTTATTTAGCACACCTCACTATAACTAGCATTGAAATCACATGCTACATCGCTTGTACAAAATGAAGGATATTTAATTCTAGAAATGCTACTGAAATTTTGTATGTGACTCCTTATAACTAAATCTGTGAATTACTCTTAAAGAGGAGCAATAGAGAATTAACTCAGACCCTTGAAATCGTTTTGCGGTATTATACAGAAATAAAAATTGCCCATTACATTTCCATGGACATAAGTGTAGTCTTAACTAATCAATTATCCTTACAGACCAACTTCATTTGGCACACTGTACTTTTAGCAAACTTGAAATATAATTATTTTTCAAGATAGAATCTTATCAAATCTCTCCCTGAAATAAAAAGAGAGGTAAGGGAGTAATTGTAATAAGAAAAAAATGTTATTCCTATGATAATTATTTAAAGGTAACTTTAAATAAACTACCCAAACTTTCAAAAACATTACAATTAATTTTTAGAATTTAAGCTAGAATTTAGGAACATCCAACTGAATTGTAGAGAAAAAAGTAAATATAATATAAAGTATCGTTTCATAATTTAAAAAATATATATTAAAGAGAAATTTGATGTAAATTATTTCAATTTAAGCCAGGAATTTATGTGTCATGTATCAAGCTGGTCGAGATCATGTAACAATGGATATTCTGAAAATTTTTTGAAATACTAGAAACAGCAATGCCAAAGGGGAAAAAATAATGAAAGATATCTTATCCTTCCTGTTTTCAAATGTAAGTTTTATAAAAAAATTTTAAATATGTTTTCCACTAAGTATGTTTCAATTACCTTACCAATTAGTTTCACATATTCAATCCTAATATTTTTAATTTTACACAATTTTTAATACATTTAAAGGCATAACACAAAAATGTCTCCACACAACTGAAATCTATTATTATTTACATAATTTTGCATAATGATTCATAGTAGCCTTAATAAAGTTTTAACAAATATAATAACCTGCTTTTCTTTGTTTAGGTATAATTACATTAAAAAAGACAAAAACATAAAATCTGATCATTAAATATATACAGAAAGTACACTTCGGTAGTGTCAAATATTTACTAGTTACATACTTGCTTCTGAAGAGAAAAATGGCCAATAATGTTGAAAAAAATTATTTTCAAATAGAAATTGCTCCATCATTTTGAAACCCTACTTATGACAAATATTGAAAGCTGTCATTAAACATACAGACTTAACTATGAGTAATAGATCATATATCTAAAAATGTGTTTTCTTTAACATTGCCAGAAAAACATATGATACTGGTAAATATTAAGTCCAGTGTTCTCTAACTTAAAACAGCGCAATACTCTTGCACTACTTTTAGTTTTAAAATATACATCTGGACTTAAAATTTCTGCATAGTGTTTCAGCTTGAAGCTATTTAAAGCAAATGAGTTATGAACCCTGAACACCAGGCTTCATGGTGGCAATACTGAGACCCCTAACTGTAAGGGTGCTACTGGATAGAGGGTTGACATATTCTCTCCACTATTTCTATCTGAACATTACTTATGAGCTTAATTTGCAAACTGCTTTTTTGTCACTAGAATTGTTGAGGATAGAAAGGCCTGGGATCCTCTAATAGTGTGCCTTAACTATTTTAAGCTTTCAGTGAGATACACCTGAAAGAAATGTTAAAAATATTTATTTCCATTTCCTTGACACCTGGGACTAAACATTTCAAAACTGCAGAACTTTGTTAAAAATACAACGCTAATAAACACCTTTACATATTTTAAAGTATACTAGTTGTTTCTGCATTTTTACACGTCACGTAGAAACAAATTAAGTATTCTTTTATAATCCCCAAACAAGATCAGATAAACAACACTAATTCATTACTTATGATTTAATACATTGTCAATATCATTTTGAAGCACTATTTTAAATTAACATATCAAAACACAGTCTATTGAATTCATTTCTGATTCTCTACAGTGCTGAGCTCAGTGTCACAGGCATAAAATATGGGCTCAATAAATATTATATTGATTTGAATAACGGATTTCTCAACAATTAAGCTCTCTGCGTGTTTTTTTTAAATATATTTACCTGTGTGTTAGCTATCCAACAATACTATAATTAACTTTGTATATAGCTCTAAATATCATAGCTAATTGCTCTCACTTTTAAAACTGACTTCTTCATACTATTTCTCCATTGCAAATGTATTCAATTTTGTTTCAAGTGTAGAAAGCCCACTGCCCTCAGGCTTTTATCTCAAAGTGAGGTAAAGAGAGGCTGTCGTTACTAACATTCAGAGGAAAACAAAAATTGTTGTCAAAATCTGAATTTTTCAAATATCTACACATCTTCAGCAGAGACAAAACTTCTATATTAAGTAGATCTCAGTTATCATCCACTGTTTGAATTTTGTTAAACACAGGTATGGGAGTGAGAAAACATTGAGAGTCAAGTTTTAGGTTAACTCAATTTATTTTTCAATTAATATAAATTAAAATATTTAACTTAATGGCCATGTGTTATCTACGGTTTTGTTTACTGGTTACAAGTAAAATTACTCTGTAATTAACAACATGTATGATTAACAGCAAAGAAACCAATTTCTCTTCAAAATAATTTAAAAGGGCGGTGGTGAGAAAACAAAGACAAGCAAAATCTGAGAATAGGTCCAACTATATTGCATTATATCTTTATGCCAAAAACATCCTAAAATACTAATGCTCAAAATCAATTCAGCACCATAAAGTAAGAATGGTTCAAGACAGTTATACCTTAAACATGTTATCGCAGAACAAACGGGATGTCGAACATCAAACATCAAAATGATATCTTGAAAAACGTAGGCATGTACCTTCAATTTTCACATACCCTGACTTATGGCTTTGTATAGACAAAATATCTACTTATTTGTATTATTTGCTGTTTATATCTAGGTTTTTGTTTGTGTTTGGGGTTCTCTTTGGCGGGGGGGGTTCGGGGGGCGTGGAAATAAATGTCCACTCACACATAAAACTAATTAGAAAATTCTGGGCCCTTGGACGATGAACATTTTAAAAGATAACTTTTGTATGGAAATCTGAATTTCCACTATATTCTCAGCTTTTTCATATTTCAAGGAAGAAAACAATCTACAAAATGGGTGCTTTGTAAAAGGAGTAATGAGACGGTTTTTAAAAACATATATTTCTGGAGCCAACTGCAAAATGAAACTTGCCTCAGAATGCCCCATCCCCTTTCCATAACAATTCATACTGATTTCTGTTCTGATATAAGACCTAGCGAGATAACCAGCTCTAATTGACCTGGACTCCTCTTTCCTTCCACCCCACCCACACACGGAATCTGAATTAGAGCGTGGGGGGATGGGGGATCAACAACCGGGAACTGCCAGTGGCGCGTGGGAGTTTGGCCCCAGGGTCCAGAGTGGAGGAACTGGCACGATTCCTCCCTTTTTCACTCTTCCCTAGGCCTTGCCTCTACCCTGCTCTGCACAGATCCCAGAACCCAGGGATACCCCAGCCCACCTCAAGAGTTCAGAGGCTAGACAAGGCCGGAAGCGGCTTTCCGAGAGTGCTCCTCTCCCTGTCTGGCTCACCGCCCCCTCCATCCCGGCGTCTGGTCCCGCGAGCGAGAACTGCCCGGGAACCCGGTTCCCCATCAACTCAGCGCGCTCTCGGCCCTGGGGGCTCCGCGTCTCCCCCTGGCGAGGGCTGCCGGGGGCAATCCGGGTCGCATTATGGACACTCAGCTGGCTACTGCCAAAGGCTCTGGACCCTACAGCCTCAACCTGCCGAGCCGCTGTCGGCGACTCCCGCTGCGGACACCCGCCCTCAAACTAACGGGCCAGGCGGGCGGAGGAGGCCGCAGGGCGAGCGGAGGGCGCTTCGAAGCCCCGGAGTCACGCCCTCTGCGCCCGGGCCGCGGCCCGAGCCACCCACGATCTTACAGAAACAACAGGGACCTTTGGGACCCAAGCCCCTTAAAAGTAATAATAAGACAAATACGCAAATTTTCACCTCAGATTTCAAGGCGGGCGAACCGAAGGCATTTCACAGGTTTCCCTCATCCCTCCAGGAGGGGCGAGGCGGGAGCTCAGTCCCGGCGGGAAGAAGCAGCCCCAGCGCCCGCCCCCTCAGCTGGCCGGCGCCTCCCGCACTCGAGGGTCCAGCGCCGGGGACTCCCGGGCTCCCCCGCCTCAGGGCGCGCGGTGACCCCGGCGGCCCCGCCTTCCTCCCGGTAACGGGAACTGGCGCGGATCTGCGAGCCTAGCAAACGCACCCGTACTGTCTCCACCTCACACGCTCCCCTAGTTCGAAGGTTTGCTCATGACCCTCTTGGACACCGGTTATGCGCTGCCGCCGGCACCCGGCACCCTGCCTGGGGCGCTAACGCCCGGCGCCGGCACCCCACGAACAGAGCCCGGGAGGGGCCGGGTCCGCTGAGACTCAAGCGGGGTCAGAGCAGGGGCCGCCGAGACGGGCGGAGGGGCCTTCGGCTAGGAGGGCTGAGGGTAGGAGTGTGCGGAATCCTGGGGAGGGGCGGCGCGGGCAGCCCGCGGTGCGTGGTCGGCCGAGATGCTGGGGCAGGAGGACGCGGGAGTCCGCCGGGAGAATGCCGGGGATCCTCACTCCTGGGGGTGGGGGTGGGGTGGAGCAAGTGAGCAGGGGCCGCCGAGACGGGCGGAGGGGCCTTCGGCTAGGAGGGCTGAGGGTAGGAGTGTGCGGAATCCTGGGGAGGGGCGGCGCGGGCAGCCCGCGGTGCGTGGTCGGCCGAGATGCTGGGGCAGGAGGACGCGGGAGTCCGCCGGGAGAATGCCGGGGATCCTCACTCCTGGGGGTGGGGGTGGGGTGGAGCAAGTCCGGGCGGCGACACACAGAGTGGGCACCTGGGGGCTCTTGGGGGAGGGGAGATGGCTCAGAAGAGTGGCTTAGAACGTTGGCCGGGAGACGAGGGGTTATGAACGGATAAAGGGGGCAAGGACTAAGGTGATGGCTCCGAGCACAGGTGGGAGAGGGAAGGGTCGGCGCGGCGTCACTGAGCCCCGAGCCCACTGGGAGATCCGGAGGAAGAGGGCCATCTGGGGATCCCTCGAGTCAGAGCTCCTAAGGTAGAAGGCCTTGGACGCCGTCCGGGCCCTGGCCCCTGTGGTCCTGGAGACGCCAGCGGGCAGGTCTCGCGGCGCCCGGCCGGGGGCGGGGGGCGGCCGCAGTTTCTTACCTTGAAGGCCACGGGCAGGGTCTTGTTGCAGCGCCAGTGCGAAGGCAGCACGGAGCACAGGAAGTTGGGGCTGTCGGTGCGGACTAGCTCGGCCGGGTGGTCAGCGATGATCTCCACCATGGTGCGGTTGTCGTGCGGCGGCCGCAACCGGGGTACCGCGGCCGCTGCTGCCGCTGCCGCCGCCGCCGCTGCCGCCGCCAAAAAAAACTCCTGCTGCTGCTGCTGTTGCTGCTGCTGCTGCTGTTGCTGCTGCTGCTGCTGTTGCTGCTGCTGCTGCGCAGCCACCACCGGGCTCACGTCGCTCATCTTGCCGGGCTGCAGGCTGCTGGAGGGGGGGCTGAAGCGCCGGCTGGTGCTCGGATCTACGGGAATACGCATCACAACAGCCACAAGTTAGCGAAGTGGCCGGGGGAGGGGGAGGAGGGTGGAAATGAGGGGCGAGGAGGAGGAAATTGGGGGGGTGGAGGCGAGACGGGGGAAAGGAGATGGAGGTGATGGGGTTGAGGAGGTGAGAAATCAAGTTCGATGAAGCCGACTGCTGAGCGGAGTCTGACGGGGGCCAGAGGTGGCGTTGCGGAGCAGTCGGGTTGGCGGGTAGGAAGACCCGGGAGGCGCAGATCTTTGCCGGAGCCTTTGGAACACCCGGGGTGGCAGCTGCGAACGGATGCGGGGATGTGTTTGGCCCAGAGAGGCGGGGGGGCTTCAGTTTGCCGCTTAGAGCAGGGTCCCTTGGGGCACCGTGTCCTGGGTGCGCTGGCGCCCCCTCCCAGTTCGAGTCCGCCGGTGGATTTAGCAGTCCAGCCCCGGGGCCGGCATAGCCGCCAGCTGCCCGCCACCGCTGCGCAGCGCGCAGCTACCCAGCCGCAGGCGTCCGCCCCTCTGCCGCCGCCTCCTCCGCAGCAGCCGTCGCTCCTCCCGCCGCGGCTGCCAGTCCGGCTCCTGGGCTCGGTTCTTTCCTTTCCTTTCTCCTCTTCTCGCCCTCTCACCGCCACCTCCTTGCATCCACTCCCTCCTGCTATTTGCAGAGCTCCCCTGACTCTCGCGCTTCAAGGTGCCAGGAGGTAAGTCGCCGGCAGCGGAGCTCGGGGCAACGGATCTTGAGCCTGCGAATCGCAGCCGCTGCCGCCGCCCGCCGGCCGCGAGAAGGAGCCCCCCAGGCGCCGCGCGCAGCTTCCCAAGCCCAGACAGGCGGCCCTGGTCTAGGGAGATCTCGCCTGGTCGCCTCCTCTTGCTTCTCCCGCCTCCCCCCAGGACAAGGAACCCCCTCTTGGTCGGATCAGGCTGAAGCTGAGACGCCAGAGAGCTGCCGGCTGATCTGACTGTCGTTATTTTTCGTTGTAACTTCAGGAGAGGAGGAAGGAAAATTCTTGAGCGTCTGTGCTGACTTCTCAGCACTCTTCACCCTTCCCCCACCCCAACCCCCACCTCTGCCGGAGCGACTCTCGGGGTAAAAAAGATTTTGAAGGGTTTGGGTGTTTTTTTGTCCTAAGTGACACAAAGAAATGGGCGGGGAGGGGGGGACGCGTCAAAATAGTTTTTAGACACTCAAGTGGATGGCTGGACACTTTTTTCTTCTATATTCATACTTGTCGTTCCTAAAGAATAAGGATTTTTTTAAGGACTGGAAAACTCATCTTGGTGATTAAAATAAGTTGCAAAAACCCTTCCTAGGGAAAAACCCCAGCAGTTTTCCATCAATTTCAATCTTTTATTAAATCTATTCTGCATCTTAAACTAAGTAATGTCTTAACTTTCCTCCCACCATTCCCGGGGGAAAAAAAGTAAAAATACAAAATAAAATATGCAAAATGCTTCAGTGGCTATTTATTTATGTATTTATTTCTCAATGTGGGTTAAAAAAGCGACTTTGGATCCCCAAAAAGTTGTGGTCGAGAGGATGAAGGAGCGCGGGGGGAAAGCGGCAATTTTACCTAAAATGTGGTTTTTGGAGGCTGGGATTTCTAATGATTAGGTTTTTGTGGTTTATATAGACACGACTCTGGCTGAGGCGATCATTACGCTGATGAGAGTCACAAGCACGTGGGTGTCTCCAACCAGCCTCAAACTCTGAACCCTCAAAACAAAATAAAACAATGTGCGGCGCCCGCAGAAGCCGGGAAATCCGCTTGAGGCTACTACACCCTTAAGAAGGGGGCACAAGGCCGGCTCCCCTCCACGTTGTGTGCTGCTACGTTCCATGATTACTGTCAAACTCCTTTAAACCTTTCAGAGCTTGAATACGTGTCTGCAAAAAGAATCATCAGTTGTCAAAGTTTCAAAGATTCCTAATAAGGTACCTGACACAGTAATAAGTGATTTTATAAATAAATGAAAAATTGCAATGCCTCCACCTCGGGGTATTGAGGAAGAGAGTTGAGTCATTATTCATCTCCCGCCTATCTTGTTTACACACTTCACGTCCCCATCGTTTTTATTGCTCAGCGCAAACGCCTCTCTCACCCCAGTAGCGACCTGCCACGACCCTCCCTCTGTTTTTAGCATTGCTCCCACTCGCTGAGCGGGCGCCGGGGTCTTCGCTTTTGAGGGGCCTGGAAGAGCTTCGAAAGTGGGAAGGGGGCGCGGAAGAGGGAACCTTATGCCTGTCACGGACTTTGGAGCCCATATCAAGCTCAAGGTAAACTTGGAGGGCTACAGAGTTCTGTGACTTGAAGACTAGGGCTGTCCTCTATAAAGAGATGCGCCGGCGACCGAGGGGCTTCCAACCGCGGGAGCGGTAGAGGGAAAACGGATGGCAAGGCGTGCGACCTTGTGGGAGTTAAGGATGGGGTTCAGGGGACACTGCTCCGTCCTTCCTCTTTGGGGCTTTATTTTTACATTCCCTTTCTCCGTTCAACAGCGCCAAGCCTCGCTCAACCGTCTTTCCCTTTCCCAGGTTTCTCTCCACGTTCTTGCCTTGCCTTGCCTTGCCTTTAAATCCACCTCACCGCTCCACAGACCCGAGTCTCCTCGCCGCGCCCCTCTAGCCTCCCCGGCCTTCCCATGGTCGCCTGCCACCCTCGTTGACTTGGAGAAGCATTCTGCACCACCCACTATGACACCCCCTCCCCAACCTGACTCCTTGTCCTCAGACTACTGGCCTCCAGGTCCTGGGCACTGCGAGGGTGCGGGAACCCACTAATCCAGACAAACGATGCGCAGCGAAAACTGAGCTGTCTCCTGCGCCTGCGATTTTTAATTATCTTTTCGGTCACAGGGGAGAGCTCTAACCCTGGGCACCGCCTCGCCGCCTGCGCGACCAGGGCCGAATCTTCCCCGAGCCGCAGGCGACCGATCTGTGAAGGGAAGCCAGGATTACCCTTCAAAATAATAATAATAATATATAATAATAATAATAAGGACAACGAGACAGCATCCATCCATTACTCTCCTACCTTACACACCCACTCACATGCACTCAGACGCACACTCTCGAATATTCGCACACTGGCACTCATAAATACATATATGTAATTACAACTCACATGTAATTTTTTTTCTTTTCTTTCTTTTTTTTTTTTTTTTTTTCCTTTCAGTCGTGGTTTTATTTTGGGCACGTTGTACCACTGTCTAACAAAGATCTCTGACTTGTTCTTTTTTGCTTTTAAAGGTGTGGCAGCTGCAAAGGAGGGGAGAAGGTACAGGAAGTGGATTACTTCTGTGGTCAAAGGCAGATAGAAATTCAGTAACTACCATAGTAGGTGATATGCCACCTTTTCTGGGGTAGTCTTTATCCTTCCAGGAAGTTCACAGAACAGGGAGCCCCTAGAAAATTTGAAGACTCTAAATAACGGTCAATATTTCAAATATGGGCTACCAGAAAAGGCTTTTTTGAATAAGAAATTCTGGGCACTTTGAATTTAAGTAATCAGTCTTGGGGACTTTTCTTTTCTTTCTTTCTTAATCGCTGTTTTGTCCTTTCTTTGTTTTACATGCAGGCCTCGGTGGTTGGGCACTTTGACTTCAGATTTTAAGGACAATTTAATCAATGGTGAATTATTTATTTTAATTAATCATATCCGGTAATGCAGCTTTATAACCTTCCTTGGGCATCCTCCCTCTACTTCACATGTCACTGAAACTAATATAAGCAGCTCTTGGAAGTTTCTAGTCTTGGATCTCTTAAAATATCCTACAGTTATTTATAATGTGGAAATGAAATTTTCCACTGAATACCCTAACAACATTTCAGGTATCTGGCACAGCAGATTTTCAGTCTCCTTTCAAAAATATCCTCTTGCTGAACATTCACACTTTCAACTGGAACTGACTGAGCCTGGAACTGATGATGTCTTGGCTCAGAGCATTATACTTAAAAGAAGAAAACATTTTTACAGACCCCTAAACCAAGCCTCTCCTGGTAATAGTAGGCATATAGGAAAACCTTGAAATTTTACATATGTGTATTTTGTGTTATAGTTTGCATGATCTCACTCAGGTTTAGATTTTCTTCTACCCCAAAGTACTTGGAAAAAAATCAACCACTAGATTCCTCTTTAGAAATATTTATCTTCTCTGTCGTATATTATGGCATAAAAAGAACATACATTTTTCTGAAAATATGGCTACTCTGGAAGATACAAGCATAATTTCCCCTCTTCATTTCAACACTTAATCTGTTTAGTAACAACACCTAGTGATTCTGATTTTCCAGACAAAGAAAATGAGATGTGAAATGATCAAGTTATTTATCTAATCAAAGAACTCAATCCCTCAAACTGGGAACAAAACCCATCTTCTTTCATTCAGATTTCATCTTCTAACCCCTATATATTATTTTATATATACCTTTTCTTGAGAAAAAAGGAAAAAGTCACTATGAAATCTTAAAATTGTTTTCAATGGACCAGCTAATAAAGTGGAATAACCTGTCAGAGATGCAATGGAAAATCATGGATATATTGATGATCCCTAAAGTTTTTAATGTGTTGTATGGGAAACCTTTATAAACATAGCCATCTTTAGAGAGATTTTCCTTTGGACTATGATTAAGCGAATGATACCCAGCGCTTGAAGAAGTAGCACTGCCAGGAGTTGTCATACTCTACTATACTATTTGGCCCATGGGCCAAATCCAGCCTGATGCCTATTTTTGTATGACCCGCAAGTTAAGAATGGTTTTTGCATTTTTAAATACTTGGGAAAATTTAAAAGAATAATATTCATAACACATGAAAATGATATGAAATTCAAAGTTCAGTGTCAACAAATAAAGTTTTATTGGAACGCAGTTGTATTAATTTGTTTATGTATTGTCTGTAACTGCCTTCACCTAAAAAAGCATAATTCTGTGGTTGTGACAAAGACTGTATGACCTGCCAAGCCTAAAATATTTGATATCTGTTTTTCTACAAAAAAAAAACTTAGACAATTCGTGCCCTAAAGTGAAAGGGATGCAGGACCTTGGCAGAATGGGACAGCAGACAGGGGTAGATATTAAAAGATAATGGAATGGTGTGTGTATGAAGTCCACATTAGTTCTTTAAAATGAAAAACTGCATCGTTTAATTTATTCTTTCTTGTAGAAAACGTTAGTCATTTAGACTAATATTTTTCACTTAATAATTTTAGATTAACAAAACAGACAGAAAGAATGGGGAGCTAGTGCTTTTTCATGAGCTCCTTAAGAACAGTTGTCTTACACGTCTCTATGTCAGCATCTTCTATTGTCTTTCATAGTGTGAGCACATTAATTGCATGGCTGAGAGAAGAGTAAGAAAACGTCCATGTAGTCTGAACATGAAAAAAAATAGATAAAACTCTAATAGGTTTATTCCATCTGTTTCACAGATGATTATGCAAGAAACAAAACAAGCTTACCAAGAATTTTCTGGTATACAATATATTCACAAGTCCTATATATACTCTTAAGACAGTTAGCTTAATAACTTAAGTGATCCCAAAGCTTTCTGACATGTTTTTCCATTTTTCATTTTTATATAGTTAAATACTGTCTGATTTGTGTTAAGCTCAGTAAATTTTTCCCTTTGTCGATGGACCTATGTAATAATTTGCATGGCTGTAATGTTTGTATTGGAGGGCTTAGCATTATAAATCTTTTCTTGTTCTAGTTAGCATTCCCATGGGCCATTTTCAGGCATTTATAAGAAAGCATGGCATTGTCATAAAAAGGCTGATGCTCAACATGTGATCTTTCAGAACCGCATTTATGGAACACTTGTCAAATTGGTCTTCAGGAATGGCACTAACTAAAGTGGCATATATTGTGTTTGACTATAATACCAACTTATAAAATGACACCCTATTTACCTGAAGAGACCAATGTAATTTCTGTGTGTGTGTGTGCATGTGCGTGTGTGTGTGTGTGCGTATGTGTCCCAGTATGTGGTCAATCCTTGAGAATGTTCTATGTGCACTAGAGAAGAATGTGCAAGCAGCTGTTTTGGGATGGAAGGCTTTGTAAATGTCAATTATGTTCAATTGGTCTAATGTGTCATTTAAGGATGCTATATCCTTATTGATTTTCTGTTTGATGATCTGTATATATCCTACAGTGGGGTATTTAAGTCCCCTACTACCATAGTGTTTTGGTCTATTTCTCCCTTTAGTTCTGTTAGTAATTGCTTTACATATTTTGGGGCTCTCTGATTGGGATCATAGATATTAATAAGTGTTATGTCTTCTTGGTACATGATTCCTTTCCTCAATTATGAAGTGTCCCTCAGTATCTTTCTTTACCTTTTTTATCTTGAAGTCTGTTTCGTCCGATATTAGTACCACCACTCTTGCTCTTCTCTGAATGCCATTTTTTTGAAATATCATTTTCCACCCTACTTTGAGTCTATATTTGTCTT